TCCCCCCAATTTTCCCCCAAATTCCCCCCAAATTCCCAATTTTCCCCCAAAATCTTCCCAGAATTCCCTCAAAATTCCCAATTTTCCCCCAAATTTTTCCCCAAAATCCCCAAATTTTCCCAATTTTCCCCCAAATTTTCCCCCCGGTCCCCCCCTAACGCCTCTCGTGTCTCCCCAGTCTCCCCCTGGAAGAAGCGGAGCGGTGAGTGCCCCTTGCACACTCATTGCACACTCCTTGCACACTCACCCCTTGCACACTCACCGAGAACCCTTCGCGGGCCTTGCACGCTCGTTAAAAACCCTTTACGGGGTTTTTACACCCCTTGCACACTCATTGCACACTCACAGCTCCTCCCGGGGCCTTGCACACCCATTGCACGCTCATTAAAAACCCTTCACAGAGTTGTTACAGCCCTTGCACACTCATTGCACACTCATTGCACACTCATCAAATCCCCTTCGTGGGGCTTGCACACCCCTTGCACACTCATTGCACACTCATTGCACACTCACAGGTCCTCCTGGGGCCTTGCACGCTCATTGCACACCCCTTGCACACTCATCGAGAACCCTTCATGGGCCTTGCACGCTCGCTAAAAATCCTTTACGGGGTTTTTACAGCCCTTGCACACTCATTGCACACTCATTGCACACTCGTGGGTCCTCCCGGGGCCTTGCACACCCACTGCACGCTCATTAAAAACCCTTTGTGGGGTTTTTATCCCCCTTGCACACTCATTGCACACCCCTTGCACACTCATTCAATACCTATTAAGGGGTTCTCATACTCATTGCACACTCACCCCTTGCACACTCACCGAGAACCCTTCATGGGCCTTGCACACTCGTTAAAAATCCTTTACGGGGTTTTTACACCCCTTGCACACCCCTTGCACACTCACAGGTCCTCCTGGGGCCTTGCACGCTCATTGCACACCCCTTGCACACTCATCGAGAACCCTTCGTGGGCCTTGCACGCTCACTAAAAACCCTTTGTGGGGTTTTTACAGCCCTTGCACACTCATTGCACACTCATTCAATACCCTTGGTGGGGTTTGCACACTCATCGCACACTCGTGGGTCCTCCCGGGGCCTTGCACACCCACTGCACGCTCATTAAAAACCCTTTGTGGGGTTTCTATCCCCCTTGCACACTCATTGCACACTCATTGCACACTCACTGCACACTCATCGAGAACCCTTCATGGGGTTTACACACTCATGGGTCCTCCTGGGGCCTTGCACACCCACTGCACGCTCATTAAAAACCCTTTGTGGGGTTTCTATCCCCCTTGCACACTCATTGCACACTCACTGCACACTCATCGAGAACCCTTCATGGGGTTTACACGCTCATGGGTCCTCCTGGGGCCTTGCACACTCATTGCACGCTCATTAAAAACCCTTTGTGGGGTTTTTACAGCCCTTGCACGCTCGTGGCACACTCATTGCACACTCATCAAATCCCCTTCGTGGGGCTTGCACACCCCTTGCACACTCATTGAGAACCCTTTGTGGGGTTTGCACGCTCATCCAGAGCCCTTCACAGGGTTTTTACACCCCTTGCACACTCATTAAATACCTTTTGTGGGGTTTGCACGCTCATCGCACACTCACGGGTCCTCCCGGGGCCTTGCACGCTCATTGCACACTCATTACACACTCATCAAAAACCCCTCAGGGGGTTTGCACACCCCTTGCACACTCACGGGGCCTTGCACACTCATTAGAAACCTTTTCTGGGGTTTTTAAGCCGCTTGCACGCTCATTGCACACTCATTGAGAACCCTTCGTGGGGTTTGCACACTCATTAAAAACCCTTCACGGTTTTTACACCCCTTGCACACTCATTTCACACTCCTTGCACACTCGTTGCACACTTGTGGGTCCTCCTGGGGCCTTGCACACTCATTGCACACTCATTAAAAACCCCTTGTGGGGTTTTTATCCCCCTTGCCCACTCATTGCACGCCCCTTGCACACTCACGGGGCCTTGCACACTCGTTACAACCCTTCACAGGGTTTTTACACCCCTTGCACACTCACTAAAAACCCTTTGTGGTGTTTTTACGCCTCTTGCACACTCATTGCACACTCATTGCAAACCCTTTGCGGGGTTTTTACGGCTCTTGCACACTCATTGCACACCCATTGCACACTCACGGCCCCCCCCAGGCCCTTGCACGCTCATTAAAAACCCTTCATGGGGCTTGCACACCCTTTGCACACCCCTTGCACACTCACGGGGCCTTGCACGCTCATCAAAAACCCTTCGCGGGGTTTTTACGCCCCTTGCACACTCATCGCACACTCACAGCCCCTCCCCCCGGGGCCTTGCACGCTCATCCGACCCCCCCAGCCTCTTGCACGCTCGTCGATTGCACGCCCAGCCCTTTGCACACTCATCGCCCCCTCCCCCGGCAAAAGTCCCAAAAATCCCTCCCAAAATCTGACCCCAAATCCCCCCAAAACCTCCAAAATTCCCCCAAATCCCCCCAAAATCCCCCAAATTCCCCAAGATCCCCCCCAAATCCTCCCCAGAATTCCCCCAATTCCCCCAAATCTGACCCTAAATCCCCCTCGAACCCCCCCAAATCCCCCCCAAATCCCCCTCAACCCCCCCCAAATTCCCTTCAAACCCCCCCAAATTCCCCAAAATCCCCCAAACTCCCCCCAAAATCTCCTCCTCCCCCCT